CACCTTCTCTCCTGTCGTACGGATCGAGAACCTCCGGTTGCTACTCGCCTTCGCGAACGCACGCAACCTCGAGATCCACCAGGTCGACGTCGACACGGCGTTTCTCCACGCCAAGCTCACCGAGGAGATTTACATCTCCCAGCCCGAGGGGTTCGTTAACAAGCAACGACCCCACCACGTCGGACGACTGCTGAAGAGCCTCTACGGGCTTAAGCAGGCGCCGCTCGAGTGGAACCGCGCCATCGACGCCCATCTGCGCAAGTCCCACTTCGAACCCACCGACTCGGACCCGTGCATCTACATTCGTCAAGGCCACCACTTGGCCATTGTCGCACTCTACGTCGACGACTGCACCATCATTGCTCACAAGTCTGAGCTCAGGGGCGTCAAGCAGATCATCGCCGACGGCTTCCTGATCAAGGACCTTGGAGAAGCAACCTCCATCCTAGGGATCGAGATCCAGCGTGATCGATCGCTCGGCAAGCTCTACATCCGACAGCGCGGCAAGATCGACAACATCCTTGCCACCTTCGGACTCACCAACAGCAAGCTGGTCTCCACGCCGATGCTGCCGAACCTACAGCTGCCAGTCGACACCAAGCAACATGACACCTTTGAATACCACAGCGCCATTGGCATGCTGTTGTATCTGGCACACGCCTCACGACCGGACATTCTCTTCCCCGTCGCGTACCTCAGCCGCTTCGCCAACAACTTCGGCCCCGAACACGTCACCGCCGTCAAGCGCATCATGCGCTACCTCGCTGGCACAGCCAACCTGGCGATCTGCTACTCGTGTGACCTCTACGACGACAGGGACGTCGCAACCCACGTACCTATTGGGTACTGCGACGCTGACTGGGGCAACATCGAAGTTGACCGCTGATCGGTCTCTGGCATTGTCTTCATCTTCTGTGGAGGCGCCATCTCGTGGAGCGTCAAGACGCAGAAATGTGTGCGCTCTCCTCCACCGAAGCCGAGCTCAACGCCATCTCCGAGGCAACGCGCCAGGCACTCTACGTGCGCAAGCATCTGCCGGCCCTCGGAGTCGACACCCAACAACCACTCTCTCTCTTCAACGACAACCAGAGCGCACTGGCCATCGTCGACATCTCGTCCGGCACCTACCACGGCCGCATGAAACATTACGACATCAAACTCGCGCACCTGCGCGACACGACCAGTCGAGGTCAAGTCCGCTACGGCTACTGCCCGACTGACGACATGCCCGCCGACGTTCTCACCAAGGCACTCGGCCGCGTCAAGCTCGTTCACCACCGCCAACGCATGGGGCTGATCGAGCGACCCGCCGCGTGAGGGGCGTGTTCGGACTCGAACCGGCGACGTCCTGTCAGACCTGTCCAGTCGGTCAAGTCGCTCACGTTGAACAACGGTCAACTCCGAACTCCCTCCCGTTGCTCAAAGACCTGAGCTGACCGACCAATTAGAACGGACCATAGAACCCTTTAAAAGAACACTGCGTTCTTCTGTTTATTTCATCCCTTCTTTCTCTCTTCTCAAATACATCTCTTCTACCACTACGCCACTACACATAATCCTGCTCCAACATGAGGAAGGTACCGAGGGTGAGGGCGGTGTCGGCGTCGAACGTGGCGAACTCGTAGGCCAGCGTGGCGTTGTTGGCCAGCCGGCTCGTGAAGGTGGTCGTGGAGCTCGTGTTGTTTGTACCGCTCCCAGTCTGCACCCAACCTGGAAATGACGATCGAGGACCCCGGTCAGCGTCGCCCCCTCTCCCCCCCCGGGTTGGCGGGGGGGGGAGTAATACTTGGCGTACCGCCGGCGGGCGTCACCTCGCGCAGGCTCAGGAAGTCCACCTGCGCCGCCTGGCCCACCGCGTCTGGCGAGGGGTCGCGTGGGATGACCACCACGCTGGGCGTCGTGTCGTTGATGCGCGCCTTCACCGCCTCCACAAAGAGACTCGGCAGCGGTACCGGACATTGTCCTATTTTCATTGTTTTTTTTTTTTTTAACATTAATGAAAGAATGATTATATAGGATTATATCTTTTATTTGTATTTTTATTAAATTGTTCATAGCGCAGGAGAGGCGTCCTCGTACCCGATGAGTTCCGGCCTGTGGCGCTCACGGTCGGCGTGCCGAGCCCCGAGGCGACCAGCTCGGTCCTCCCGGACTGAATCCAGGTCGAGGCCAAACCCGCTGTTGCAAACTCCGCCAGCAAAACACCTGGTCCACACATGCACACCATACTGCGTCCTCAGGACCATGAAACTCTCCTTTGTGTGTCGTGTGCGTGACGTGTGCGCGTGTCGTGTGCGCGTGTCGTGTTATATGTGGGAACAGTTAGGTACCGCGGCCGCTACCGGTCGTGATGCGGGAAGAGCCAAACTGATTCCAGGTTCCGCCCTGAACGGCGACTGCAATGAACACTGTGGTGGTGATCTCCACGTGCCCGTAGTGGAACCAGTTGCCCGCGTTGGTGACCCTTATCACTGTGAGCGCGACGAAGATGGTGATGATGACTGCAACAACCAAGGACGAGTCGTGGCGTGCGGCATAGGTACGTTGGACAGAACTCGGCCCCTCTTTGACGGTGAGCGTCCCACGAGTTTCGAGCGCGCCGCCGGTGATGAGGATCGCTGCCCACCACGCGCGTCGTTGTGGTAGAGTGACGTCAAAAAGGGAAACAGGTCCCGAAAACGACAATAAGAAAGAAAGACCCAAAGAATGAAAGAGTGCGATAGAAGAGAGAAGAACGAGGCTGAGGCGCGTACATCCGACCAGGGTGAGTGTGCCGTTCTGTCGCACAGTGGAGCTGGAGGGGATGATGAGCCTGGCTGGAAGACGTGTTGGTCGTCAAGATGGTCACATTCCCAACTGCCCTGTGACACACAAGAGTGGACATGTGGCCCAACCACAGACAAGATCACAGAAATAAAATAAGTTTATAATGTAATGTAATATAATATAATATGTAATTAATATTTGATAAAATCATCAGATGAAAAAAATCGGACAAAGAAGAAGTACAAAAGTCGGGGTTTCGGGGCGTACTCGATGTCGAGGGAGCTGACGGAGACTGTTGTCACGTTCTCAGTATATACCCCTGCCCCAATGCGGACGAGGTCGCCCGGCCCGGCAGCCTCGATCGCGAGCTGAACCTTGGAGTACTGGCAATTACCACACACTTCCCGAGCTGGCAAGTCGCACCATAAAATCAAGATGAGCTCCCACAAGTAAACACGAAAGCGAAGAAGATCATTCATGAGGCGGGGGAGGAAGATAACTGGCTGCCAACACGGTCGAGGAGCTGGCCCACCAGCACAAGAGGGTAACGAGAACGGCCAAGTAGTGGGTGCGCCGCACGTTGATCATCATTGTCCCCCACCACCCTCAGAACAATCAGGTGTGCGTGTTGTGTTGTGTTGTGTTGTTGTGGAGAGCCGAGAAGAAAGCCCGGCCGGAGGGTTGGGGTGCTAAGCTCGCCGAGAGTACCCAGAATTCGTTTTCGGTACCCCACGAACAAGCCAATCAAAGCGCAGTGTGTCTTTTCGCTGTGGGTGTTTTTTGTTATTGGTTTTTTTATTGTTGTTGGTTTGTTTCGGTTGGAGGATTGATTAGAGGCCTATTTACTGTTGTTGGATTGGGCAGAGAAGGAGGGACCGCTTCGGCCCGACGCGTCCTGCTGTTGCTGGCCGGTTGCGTTGGAACCGCCACCGCCACCGCTGGCTGTCGAGGCGGAGGGCGGCACGATCTTGCCGCGCTGGAGGAGGTCGAGCGCGGCGGCGGTGTTCCCGCGCGCGAGTTCGATGTAGGTCTGCAGGAGGAGCGCGTGCGGCGACGACGGGTGGATGGCGGTGGCGTGCAGCAGACACTTCTGGGCCTGCGGCAGCTTGTCCTGCAGTATGTGCGCGGCCGCCAGGTTGACGTAGAGCACGTATCGCGCCGATGAGGCCAGCGCGGGCGCGAGGCCGAACTGCGTTGGTGGCGCCGGGCCGAAGGCGCCCGGGGCCGGCGTCGCCGACGATGAGCCGCCGCCGGTGGACGACGACGATGACGAGCCGGCGGGCAGGCTGGCCGGGAGGTCCTTCACGAGCGAGGGCGACAGGTGCTGCATGGCTTCGGCCGGGCGATTGAGCATGCAGAGGGCCTCGGCGGCGTAGAGGTGGGCCAGCAGCCGGTGCTCGTCGTCGATGACGGCCGCCGTCGGCGACGCCGCGGTGCCGTTGGGCGCCGAGGCGGTGGACCGAGCGCCGACGTTGAGCGCGGCGCCGGCGGCCGCAAGCGCGACAACGGGGTCCTCGAGCGCGAGCGCAATATAGGCCATGCTGAGCAGGCACACGCACTCGAGCGACGTTGTCGACGCAACGGCGGGCGCGCCCGACAGGCCGGCCGAATCACCGACAGCGGTCGCTGCGGCGGCGGCGGACGGCGCGGTAGAGGCAGCGTCCGTAGGACCAGCAGGAGCGCCGGTGGCGGAGGGCTTGGCCGCGCCGCCACCGCTGACGGTGGTCGCGGGAGTGGCGGGAGCCGCCTCGGGGTTGTGCTCCAGCAGCTTCAGCGCGTTTCGGAGGCACTCGAGGCCGTAGCGCAGCGTGAGCGCCGGCTGCACGCCCGAGGCGACGTCCTGCGGCGGCTCTCCGCCGCCGGCGTTGTCAGCATCGG